TTTTTTTTTTTTGCTACAAATGCTTTGAGTTATCAATAGAACATTGGGTATCACTATTGATTTTTCAGAAAACGTCAAATTTGGTGTTTCTATTATAAATGTCTACACCTAATCCAATGCCTATATTTCCTTAGTTGTTATGGTTATTTGATGTGTTCTGACAAGACAATTTCTCAAAAAATTTGTATTGACCAAGATAAAAGGTTGCAAATAGGAGTGACAATAATTGCAATAGGTGGTTTTATATTTAGATTTAAATCCATGGATAGGCCAGTTTTTTAACTAATTTTTAAATTAAAAAATAGAAACTAAAAGATCCTAAACATCTAGTAGGCGTTTGGCACCGGAGTATTTCACAAGTGATGGCGTGCACTTCAGCAACTCCCTGCTGGATGGCAGCTCGAATGCCGAGCTGGTGGCTTCCTTGCAGATGTCGAGTTGGAGAATTTCCTCATCGGGAGGTTGCTCCYCACGCCGAGGTCACTTTGATCGGTACTGACGAGGTACAAYAGGTCGGCAAGTCCTCGTGGAGGTCGCTYCTCACATCGAGGTCCCTTGGACCGGTAACGACGATGTACCATAGGTCGGCCCTAAACGAGGTGTTGCTAGCCGCCCTGCCGAGTTGCCCGAGTTGTGTATGAGGTCACCAGCTGGGTCTCCATCAGGTCGGCGGAGGTAGGTTACCAACTAGGTCTCCATCATTTTGGCTAAGGCAAGTCATCGCTTACGTAGTGTCAGGGTGTCATGCGACGATTTTGGGATCGACATATGGTGCGCTATCACAAGAGGGCCAAATCTACCCTCATCAACAAGCTTGCCACATTAAGAAAAATGGATATACTAAATTAATCGTGTTTGGCAATCTGTTTTTCAAAACAATGTTCTTACAATGATTAGCTCCAGGATTCCGGAAGGAAGRTGTTTCTTGAATCATTGATAATCTTGAATCACTAAGGTGATGTAGCACATTAAAATTTAAAAAAGCTAAGATCTTTTTTGAGATGTCATACAGTTGTCATTATAAGTATATTATAATAATAAGCCAAAGCACTTTAAACACCTAGTAACCCA